TCAGATTGGACCTCTGTGCCGCCTACACTTGTGACTATGCACAATGCAAAGCAAGGCTGATTCCAAGTTCTCTTGGTTTCCCTTTGTATTGTCTGCCGGTAGCACTCACAAAATTTTAAAGTTCTGTTCTGACAGAGTATGAACTTTGACTGATTATGTCTCATCGAGTCATTGTTCACTCTTAATTTGGTTTGGGAGAAGAAGGGGATACCAAAAGGTGTAGAGATGATCATCATTTTATTCACTGACATCTTTTTTTTCCCTAAACCAATCCATAGACCAATATTAGTGATTCATCCCTTAGCCTTTCTTGAAGTTCATTCTTATTGCTTCCAGAGCAATTACACCATAGTAATTCTATTAAGATTGAAGATAATTAAATAATGAAAATATTTTATTTTTATAAATAGAGTAGCCTTTTCCTTCTGCAGACTCACTAACTTTCCCTGCACAGTTGCTCCCATTTCCTTTATTCTATATGAGTGGAGTTGATTTTTTTTCAATCCAACTGCAATCAATAAAAAGAAAACATTGAATCTCTAGTTTTAAAAAGCCATTCAATATTTTAGTATACGTGTTTCCCCCAAAATAAGTCTGGGTCTTTTTTTTCCTCCAAAAGAGACACCAGGTCTTATTTTCGGGGTGTGTCTTTTCCACTCACCTCTGGCACCAACAGCCCCACCTAACTGGCCCACTTCTGCAGATGAAGAGGAAGCTTCATTCTGCAGCTCAGAATGGAGCTCAGGCCTGTATTTTGCAGTCAGGCCTTCCCAGAAGGCCTCTGCAGCTGAGAACCGAGCAATGGGTTGAATCCATAGCTTGGTTCTCAGCTGCAGTGGCCTTCCAGAAAGGCCTGACTGTGAAATGCAGGCCTGTGGATGCTGGAGAAGAAGTGGGCCAGCAAGAAGAGCCCTGACTACAAGATAAGTGGTTGCGGGGCACATGGGGCAGCTCCACCCTCTCACCCCTGCCCTAGCTTGATTTTTAGGTGTGTGCCTCGCCCTAAAACTAGGGCTTATTTTGGGGGGTAGGGCTTATATTAGACCCAACCCCCAAAATGAAGCTAGGGCTTATTTTCAGGGTAGGGCTTATTTTTGGGGAAACACAGTATTTAAAGGTGCATTATCCTACTAACAACTTTCCTTGAAACTCTTGCCACACCATCCATCCAATACTCCTTGATGGACGTTAGGACTCCTATTCACCCGTAACATCTCATTTCATTTTAACCACAACAAACTCCAACTATTTGCATCTATATTTACTTTATTAGTTGGGAAATATATTATTTATTCCTTGCAGGAAGGAAAGAAACCTGTTTTGTTTGTTTGTTTGTTCTTTAAGGCACACCTATACAAGTTAATAACCACAAATTTACAGACTGTGTAATCCCAGTTTAAGCTATAGGCTGGTCACAGATTATATACAGAAAATTACATAGTCTACAATTTCCAAAGGTAAGCTAACTGGCAACATTCTGCTTCTTTGAATCTAGAAAATATTTGAAGCATTCAACCTTGCATTTCTGGTTTATTCCAGTGCAAAAAATTGGAACTAGCACATGAAAATACAGACTAATTTAAATGAATGATATCCTGCTAAGTAGGAGAATTTTCAAACTAATGTCTAAGACCCCTTCCCTCTACACAAAACAAAATAGAATATGAGAATTGGACTATTAAGATCTTATTACCCTTAATGCATTTGTAATAAGCAAAGACTGATTTTCAACCTGAGGGCTAAAGCTGCTGCATTTAAAGGTTTAGATTAGATTTTTAAATTCCTCATTTGCTTTTCATACTAGGGTTTTTTTCATAAAATTGTGGAGGAATTGAATTAGAAAGGGCATTCTGCGGATGCTCAGATTTGTCTATTTGACTTTTCCCCCTGGAAACAAATCAAGTTTTGCTTCTAAGCAATCGATAAGCATATGTACATCAAGATAAATTTCTTAATTCTTGTTTAGATGTTGCAACTGAATATTGAAGATTCAGTAATAAAGTCAGCACTGTTTTGTGAACTTTCAGTAAATAATAATCCTTTATGCAAAGCTTATAAGAAAAATATGGAATTCAACACATTTTTCCCCTCCTTATCTATGTTTAGATCTGGTTACTATTGCTGGTCTAGACTCTTGGCTTTGTAAATCCTTCCCTCTTTCCACTGTCGATCTTATCGGTCTAGCCTCTTTAATTTCCTTAAACCTACTCTCCTCCTGTTTCCCTTCATTTTTCCCTTCATCAATATCCTCTCGAAACTCAACTCGTGTACCTTTGGTTTCAATGGCTTGCACTAGTGTCTCTCCTTCTTCTCTCGCTCCTCTTTCAACTAAATCTTCCTTGCTGCCAAAGTTTTCCCTGTAAAATTCCTCTGCTTTTTCTACTGAGTCTAGGCGAAACTTTTTCTCCTGCCATGTCACCAGAATCCCTTCTGGAGTCAACCATCTCAAGTTGATATTTTTCCTTATCAATTTGGAAGTTATATATTGATAAGGCCTTCTCAGGTCTCTCACTCTTTTGGGTACTTGTTTAAGTACAATCAGCTGTTTACCTCGATATTCCACTGTATCATCTCTGAACCTGAAAGGAATTTCATCCCTAATTGATTTCTTAATAAATCTAACGTGCACTTCTCTGGGAAGATTGTGTCGTCTTTCATAATTTGTGTATATTCTATAGGTCTCATCTATCTCACTGGCCATCTCCTCTCTGCTAGACCCCAACGCTCCCGCTAGGATATCTGACATGTGCTGGCTCAGGAATTCTGGGAATTGAAGTCCACGAATCATAAAAGAGCCAAGGTTGCCTTCCCCTGGTCTAAGTGATTCTACATTAGAGCAGAGAACATTATAACACACCATGTCAATTTGAAGTTTAGCTGATGTCATGGAGCTGCAATATTCATGGAGCTGCAATACTTAAAGACTACCTATAGTTTATATCAAAGCTTGTCCTGTGATAGAGGATGCACAACTCTCTGTTCTCTTGTTTAACTTGGTTTCATTTATTTTATTTATTTAACAAATTTATTGGCTGCCCATCTCATGGAACAGAAAGCCAGGCACAAAGTTTCCATATGGTGTAAGGATTTTTGTGCCTCACAATTTCTGACTAATTCCATGACTAGTAGTACTGAAATAATCCGAACAAATGACACCTGAAATTTGATGCAAAATTTGTCATTCTTTTTTTTTTCATTCTCTGCACAAAACACAACCAGCTAACATTCTTTTAAAATTTATTTTACACACAGAATACTCACAGCCAGCTAACATTTCAAGGAAAAATCAATAGTTATGTTAAACAAAATGTGATTCATTACCCTTTGCTTAGATTTATTTTATTATTATTGCTCAGCATCAGTAATGAAACATACTAAAGCAATTAAGCCCTACTCTTTTACATGAAGTTTTTATTTTTGAGATAACAAAGTGCAGATTGTATCAGAATGATCAAGAAACCCCAGACAAACTAGCAGACAAACTAGCAATGGCTACCTGCTAGGGACAATCATGTAGAACATGCCTCAAGGCTATTTCTTATGATCTCAGTTGCAAATCATGAGATGGATTATTAGACACATGACTGATCAGGGACTAGAAAGCTTCAGAAAGGAGAGCTTGTAATAATATTTAAACCAGGCCTGCAGAGATTTTACATGCTAAAAAAGCCTCATAAAATGTAATGTCAATTTGTTTACAGTGATTTTTTTCCCCTAAATTTATACCATGTTGGGGAAACTGTGTTTCTTTCATAGGTCAAGAACCCTGAACAAATTCAGAATGGAGTACAAATTGGCTTTCCAATTTTGGTGCATGTGTTATTGCTGTTCAATCTTGCCAATATATGTTCCTCACAAAACAGGCTTCCTCTTCCTATTGAAATGTACAGTATTTAATTGTAACCAACTTCCATTCCATTCTAAATGGAGATGGGGAGAAATGAGCTCCAGTAAAGTCAATTGGGACATGCTTCTATACAACACAGTTAGAATTAATATGATGGTTTAATTAAAAGATAGTCTTTAATGAAATCTGTTGCTAATCCTCAACAATTGATGAAAGTTTTTTTTAAATAAGAAAAATGTTGAAAAAAAGTGCTGGGGGAAAAAGTCCTGTTGATTAATTTTAATAATTACTACTACATAAATTTCTTCAGACTGAAATTACAGGGCGCAAATTATATGTTGAAATGAAATCTTCATAATAAAAGCATATGCAGTGCCAGGATGTTAATAATGGAAGAATGAAAAGTAAATGAAAAAGTTGGAATGAAAGAGAAAAATAATTCTTGGAGAAGCAATCGACTTGAACCTCTGTCTTCTGGGCGTTGAAGTCCACGAGTCATAAAAGAGCCAAGGTTGCCTACCCCTGGTCTTGGCAATAAGTACCTGGATCTAATGAATTTGTTTCCAAACAAATAAATGCTGCACAACTATGATCTGAATGCTGTTTACATGAGGCAAAATCAACCACAGAAATCTCACTGAAGCACCCCCCATTAATACTTCCAACTAAATACAGTAAAGATGAGGACCGAGCTCGAACCATTCTATTCATTCATCTGCATGTCAACTGTATTCAGGAGCAACCTCCAAGAACGGGAAAAATAAGCAGGGCACCCAAGGATCCATATTTGCAACCTCAAAACTTGAAATCCTCCCTCTTTCGTCTGTCACGAATACAGAAGGTGGGGGCGGGGAGCTTATCTCCCATCCCCGGATCAACATTTCACAAACAGAGAAGGGCCGGCTTTGCTCAGCTCCTTCGGGATCTGAAGCCACCACAATTCCCTGAAAAGAAGAAAAGCCGCGAAAAGCCGGTTCCAGCCCGTCGCGTAAAGGGGCAGCTGCCGACCAACATGTGGCGGATGGAAAGCGAGGGGGGAGGGGGAGAGGCTTCTACGTTAAACGAGGCAGCTTGCAGGTCGGTGTCGGGGTTCGCCGAAGCGCCCTGGGAAAGTCGAGACGGCGAGCAAGGCAGCGGGGCCCCGCGTACTTACGTATCTATTAATAAGAGTCCTGAGGCGGCTGCAATCCATGGCGAAGCGACTGGCAGCTGCTCCGGCGGCGCCCTCCCTTTGCTGCTCTCGCCCAGGGGGGATTCTTTCTGGCGCGGCTCACGCTTCTGCTTCCCGCACCCACGCTGGGATTTCTACCTCAGAGCAGCCCCGATCACAGCCCTGCCCTGCCATGACCGGTCGGGTATTCTTGGCGGGAGCTTCTCGTCTCTCGCTCCCGCTCTGTCACGCGTGCACCAGGCTAGCTCGCCTTCCCATGTGCGCTCCAGTCCGCGCTGCCTGAATCGTAGCACCGCCGGCAGCAGCTGGCTTCGAAGAAGGCGGAGATGGAGGAAAAGAAAAGGCAACTTTGTTCAGAGAGCCGGGCAGATCGTAGGAGACCGGGCGAGGTTGTTTCGCGCTTTCCTTTTCCCAGAAACTTCCCGCCGCGCTGGGCCGATTCCTGCGCAGCCTCGCGAGCCCCGCGAGCCCCGATCGCTTCTCCGTCAGGTTTTTCTCCCTCTTCTTTGATCTTTCCTTGCTAAGCTCACGTCATACGGCGCGGGCGAGCATGCGCGGTCCAATCTCTTCGCCAGGAGCAACACACTCTTCCATCCCCGCCCCGTTGTTTCCCACAAGTGCTCTCCTCGCCGATTGCCAGGAGTTCCTGGAACAAAATCTGAAAAGGGGTTACCTTACACTCCTCATTGGCCGGTTTAGAGCCCTAAAGAACAGGGGGTGGCCGAGCGCGTGGTATTGGCAGTACTCGGTGGGAAGACGCGGAGAGCTCACCAAGCCTCTGGGCTCATCGACGTCCACCAGAGCAAACTTCAGAAGTGCTCAACACCACCACCCCCCAGACGGTATTGTCTGACAGCTTCCGACGCGCTCTTTTGCCGGCGGGGCTATTGAAATCTTCGCCGGTCTGAAATAATCGGGATGGGGAAATGGAGGGGGAGCCGAAGGCGGAAGAAGCCGGGAAACAACGCGCCTTTATTCAGCCAGGCGCGCAACTGTAGTTGTCTTCAGATTCTACACAGACTATTGTTTATTTCCTCCCCCTTTCCCTCCCGGACACCTGGTGAAAGAGCGATTAATTTCGCGTTCCCGGCCGGCCTGATACTCTCTCCAAACCCTAAAAGCATCAGGCTGGAGAAAGTTGGAGTGAAAAAAACGGCGAGCGTTGAGATCCCGAAATCCCAGCGCGAGGCTAACAAAACGCGAATTCCCGTCTGTCAAAAGCGCGTGAAAGTGATTGAGAGTTAAGGAGAGGAGCGGACTTCCTAGAGCCCCTGACTTTCCCGCTTATGTCTCCGGAGAGGGGCGCACCCTGGGCTGGAGCGGCAAGGAGCATCCTGGATACGCTGAATTATTGCCAGAAAGATCCATGAAAACAACGAAGAGTTTTGTCGCACTTTGAGAAAGGCATCCCTTAACGCCTGTGATTTGGGAATAACCTCCGTATTGGTTTTAAGTAAACCAATACGGGATCCCTAAATACAAGGTGATAGTAATGCCCTTTACTAGAGTCAGCTAGTGATGCATTACTTAAAAGTTAAAATAAAGTCATACAAATAGCTGTCCCCACCTTAAGCTATTAATAAACAGAAAGAAAGACTCTGAGTTTTAGGAAGGACAGTGCATTGTATTTCATCCCAAGCCCTGAAGTAAATAAATAATAACCTTGTTCTAAGGATGAAGACTAATGTTATTCATTGGCTGCATTTGTACTGCTCATAAACTCACAGTTAATGTAACTATCCCCCTCAAATATGTTGTCTCATCATAAGGGTTGTTCTGAAAGGAATGAGTGAAGAATGCCGGAAGTGTACTCAATATCCAGCAAGTTCATTCAAGGTAGGAAGGTCATTCCAGGTGCTTGGCTAAATCAAGCAGGCACCTATATTAGGCAGCAGTGATATAGGAAGATACTGGATGATCACATCATTTCAAACTGCCTGAGAGAAGGCAGTTGTAAATGACTTCTATATTTTACCAAGGAAGCCACATGGTTAGACAAGATAAAGTGATCGACAAGTCAGTGCCAAATGATGAGGCTTTCAGATCAGAGAGTACTCAACTTATTACTGAGGAAGACCCCGAGTCATTCGGAGTTCTAATAATGTTTATGATGCAGCTCAGTTAAAGCTAGTTCTAATGCATAGTTCCTTGTAGACATGCAGAAAAGAAAATCCAAAACTGCAAAGACTGAATAACAAGGGAGCATGAAACATAAAAAGCATCACAAGGAAAACCTCAACACAATAAAACTGTGGTTCCTGAATGGTGTGCTGTGGAACCCAGAGAATTTCTACTCTGAAAGATGAAATGAAGCAAGTACATGCTGACATTTTAGGCATATAAACTGAAATGGAATGATTGGACACATTGAGTCAGAAAAATATACTATTTTTTTACTTGTGTATGTGTGCCTTTGAACCAGCACTGATTTCTGGTGAATACCTGGGCATATCCATGTAGTTTTCTTGGCAAGATTTCAGAAATTCTGTGGATTTTCTTGCCATTGCTTTTTTCCTAGGGCTGAGAGAGGGACTGGCCCAAGGTCACTAAGCTGGCTCTGTGTCTAAGCTGGGACTAGAATTCACTGTCCCTAGGTTTCTCATTTGGTGCCTTAATTTGATTAGATTAAATTGGTTCTCATGTTTATTACTAAGGTTATGTTAAAGAAGAAATATAGTGTTGCTTTCAGTCTGGAAGGACACAGTAGAGAGTATTGGGGTACAATGTACTCAGTTAACTGATAACAGTTAACAGCAATTAGACTTTGTGGACAATTGTCTAGTATAATGGTTATCCAAGTTTATGTCCCGGCCATTAATAGAAAAATACGGCACTTTTATGGTCAAATTCAGTCTGAAATTGACAGAATGTGCAAGCAAGATGTGCTGCTTGTGGTGAGAGCCTGGAATGTCAAACTTGAAAGCAGCAAGGAGGAACCACAGTCCTAGAAAACAAAAATGAAGCAGGTGAACAACTTATCAGTTTCTCCCAATCCAATGATTTATTCAATGATGAGACAGTTTTCAAACAACCAAAATGACACGTACATTTATGGATATCACCAGACCGAGCACAGAAATGTGGTAAGATGGATGGACTTCAATTACAGCAGCAATAGGGGCGCTGCTGGAAGGCCTGAAAAGGTGGGTATAGATTTTGCTGGAAGTCAACACTCACTTGATGATTCATCATCAAAAGCCAATGTAACTATGACTTTCTCAAACTGACTTTATGGATTTACATGGCACGAATTCAGACCTAAGGCTAAAATGTCATTGATTAGATTGTGGCGCACTGTTGCGTAAACACGATTACTGTTTCCTTGAAGTAGGAAAACCTGCTACAGATAACATTTTGAAACAAAGAGAAAAAAGGAGGGAACTAAAAGAAAGGAATCTGGGTGTTGCAGGTCTGAAAGAAAGGTAGACAGCAAGTCTTCAAATGCCTCCTCTTGCAAGGGAGACAAAGTCAGAAAAAGTTTATGTGCTTGGTCATCATTTGTTATTTGATATTTTGTGTTTGTGTATTGTTATGTGGTAGGCTCCTCCCCGTCTTTTAGAAAGGTTAGTATTGATGGGATATAGAGTATTTGTTGAATAAAAAAAAACTTTCTTTCCTAATCCAATGGTAACCAAGTTTGTTATCTTCCCCATGCTTCACTCCATTATATTCCTTTCCTTGCTAGGACAAGAATAAACATGAATGGGAAGTAAATGGAGGAAAGAAAGAAGTGGGAAATGCTGTGCCTTGGGACACAGGTTGGCAACCTGTGGCTCGGAGCCGCATGCGGCTCTTTGAGCCTTTCCCTGTGGCTCCCAGCCTCCTCTGTCATTTGCAGAGAGAGACAGAGACAGAGAGAGGCACTTGCGCTTCCCTGTTTCTCTCTCTCTCCCTCTCTCTCTCTCTCTCTCTCTGTGTGTAAAAGAGAGTGGACCCACGGTGTTCTCCGACAAGTGAAAAGCTTTTGGGTGGGGCTCCTCCCTTTGCAGCTTCTCTGGAGGAAGCAGGAAGCAGGAAGCCGGAAGGGCAGGAGAGAGCTAGCTAGCCCAGCTATGCTGGCTCAGGAATTCTGGGAGTTGAAATCCATGAGTCACCTACCCCTGAGCTTGTTGGAGAACAGCTTGAAGCCAGCTTGCCAGGTGAGAAGAAGATCAGAGAGAGGGAGAGAGGAGGGAGAGAAAGAGAGAGAGAGAAAGAGAGAGGGGGGAGGGAGAGAGAGAGGGAGAAAAAAGAGAGGGAGAGAGGGAGACACAGAGAGAGACCCTTTTGACATCTAAAATGAAGATAACACTGCATATATCCTTTTTTGGCTCTTTGAGTGTTTGGGGTTGCCTACCCCTGCCTTAAGATATTTGTTGATACAGTTTGTCCATCAGCATTTGTACTAACTCTGTTGGTTGAAATGACTAAGAATCTCTACATTGTATCTAAGGATCTGGCAAGCAGTCTGCTACTGACCTACTTTCACTTTCCTAATCATTGATACATTTTTTTCTTGGTGCTACTCCAAAAGTTGAGAACAATTGAGGACAAAAGTTGAGGAGGACAATTAACCAGTGGAATAGCTTGCCCTCACAGAAATCGTTGCACTCCCTTACTGGAGATTTTAAAAAAGAGGCTAGACGAGACATCAAACTCAACGACATCACGTGATGTCGTGTGATGTATCAGAACTTTTTCCCCATTGCCGGCAATGGGGTGAGTGCAGTGACTGATGAACCAGAATAGATTTCAGAGATTGCTGGGAGTTGTTTCTGTTGGTCTGCTGTGCTGTACAGGACAGCTGAAACCTTGGTTGCCACATGGAATAAGGAGGCAGCTGAGGCTTTAGATCGGATTGTACCCCTGCAATCTCTTGGCTCTCATGGGTCCCTGCACTCCCCGTGGTTCATGGAAGAGTTGAGGGAGATGAAGAAAAAGAAGAAACATTGAGGTGGATGGTGGCGTTGTTGCAGAGGAATGTCTGGGCAGAAGTGGGAGATGCCATGTGCATGAGTTCTTGCAGTGGTAAAGTATTTTTTGAGTGGGAGGGTTGTTTATTTGTCTCTGAAAAAGGCCTTTGTTCACCCCCTCCTCAAGAAGCCATTGCTGGACCCAACTATACTGGACAACGTTAATCCAGGATCTCACCTGCCCTTTCTGGGAAGTTGGTTGAGAAGGTGCTTATGCAGCAGCTTCAGAGAACCTTGGATGAAGTAGATTATCTGGACCCCTTTCGATGGAGCTTCAGGCCAGCATTGGTCATGCTTTTGGATGATCTCTGGCGAGGGCAGGATGAGATTGTGCATTCATCCTGCCTTACTTGACTTCTCAGCAGCTTTTGATACCATCAGCTGCAAACTTGAGAGCACTAATGTATTATGTATTAATTAAATTTATAATAAATGTTTATAAGAGTAAATCTTTCCCATGAGTTCCAACCACAAGCTACAAACAATGGAATTAATATCTTTGTGTGAGTAATTGTAACCAGGCTAGCCATCAAAATATAGGGGTTGGTTCATATGTTGCTTCAAGCCACGTTTATTTTAATTGCTTTTGGTTTACCATATTGTCTGGACCTGGCCATTATAAATGCAAGTCATTTTTTTTGTTAACTTTGTTTAAGCAACTGGTATTTAATTTCTTGAAAGAACTACAGGGATTAAATCCTTTTAGCTAATATTCTTTGATTCTTATTTGTGTAGACATTTAAATTTTATGTTTTGAACTGTGTGTAATGACTAATACCATGGCTTTCCATCTATTCTGGTATTTAAAACAGATCTTAGATTTAAAATTCCAATTAAACTTTGCTTAAAGAATCCAAAAATATATTAGCCTTGTCCTTTTTATGTTTAATGGTAATACTACATGCAAACCTGTCATTTGATAGAATTTCTCAAAGTTCTTTTTTTTCAGCTCAGTTTCCTAAGCTGAAAACCCTGCAATGGGATTAGAAGTGATTGAAAAAGCTGTTAACTGCTAGCAGATGGAATGCTCTGAGCAACTCACAGTAGAAAGTCCCATGGAAAACAAGCCCAATTCACAGCAGAAAAGAACATTCAATAATACCAAACTACCATAAGATTGTCAATCCCATAATTTCTATTAAGTCCCTACTAAAAACCTGTTATTTTGGTGTACTGTGTTTAATTTCATTAGAAGCTAAAAGCATTTTAGCATCTGGCAAGGTCAGTCCTGATTTCATGATAAGCAAAACCTTATTTGTTTATTCATTTATTTGTTTGTTTATTTATTTTCCTTTGGTTTACAGGCCACTCCATTTCGAAAGACTCTAAGTAGGTATACTTAATATATATATATATTAGAACACAGAAAATCAATTTTGTAACCAGATTCTCCAATAAGCCATTTTTATCTAGTAGTAGATAGTTGAATATTGTTCAACTATCTATTGTTGATTGTTCCAGAGGCTGGGGTCCATTATGGAAAAGACTCAAGACTTTGCAAACAGTTTTTCCTTGCTGAGAGTCCCAAATCTGAGGGAAAACCCTCTGCAAAGTCTTGATGGCTTACTGGAGAATCTGCTGGAGTCTATGACAACTCACCATAGCAAACTTGTCATTTCCACCTTACCACAGCCAACTCGCTAC